GTCTGTCGGTCTGTCGGTCTGTCTGTCTGTCGGTCTGTCGGTCTGTCTGTCTGTCTGTCTGTCTGTCTGTCTGTCTGTCTGTTTGGCTGTCTAATATCATTGTATCACTGCAGGTAGCTAGGGTATTAAGCAAACAGCTTCTTTCTTTATTTATTTGTTTGTTTGTTTGTTTGGTTATGTATTTGTTTATTTTCTGAAGCTGAAACTGTGAGAGGCTGTATGCTTGTTGCCCTTGATAAAGTTGTGATTGATGGAAAAAAAAAAGCACATTATTGCCTGTGTCCCTTAAACCTTTTTGTGTTTTTTATACTATATTGAGCACTTGAAACTGTAGTTGGGTAGCCCTGCTTTAAAGCATTTTAAAATTGATGTTTTACCTGATCATATTTCAAAAGTTAATTGGCATACCTGGTGGTGATTAAAATATATAACAGTACAAGTGTAATAGGTGCAGAAGTGTAAAACCAGTGCATGCTTGGGTTTTAGAGGCAGCATCTTCCATGGGTTGCTGACTAATGGGTGTAGACAAGGAGCGACAAGGTCTACGGTAGATCATTATGGGTCATGTCATGGCAACCATGAAAAATAGGAACTGTATATACTAAAAAATCTGCTATGAGATTTTAAAAACATTAAGCTGTGGGTAAAGCCTAAACAATGTAGACTGTGTAAGATCAAATATTTATTACCAACAGCTGGTTGCTTTTAGGTTTTAATGAGAACCAAGAGTAGAAACGTGTTTTGTTCAATCATTTCTATATATTTACCATCTGATTTCACTTTTACTTCTAATGTATTCTTTCAGAGGGATGTTTGTTTCTGCTGACACAGCTCTTTTTACTTTCAGGCTAAAAAGGGTGAACACGCTCACATGAACACACACATCCCATAAAACTAGATACTGTGTCGCTGTAATGGAGCCGTCCTTTATATATAACAGTCTTTGAGTGCAGTTTTTGAAAATGACTCCAGTTTTGGACAAATGTACTAAACAAAACATAAAAACATATTGCAGATGTCAGCATAAAAATGGTAATTTTATGATGATGATATTTTGGTAGGTTTATTGTGTAAGCATGGTTTTTTAAAAGAAATATTGAATGGTATATCATAAATATAAACTTGTTTTACCTGCTGCAGGCCTTAAATTAGGTTATTTTTGTTAGTTGTTTAAATAAATATCCACATAGAGTGCAGAGCAATAATCATGGCCCATCTGAAGGTGTAGCTGAGCTCACAGAATGTCTTAAGGCCTTTATGTGTGTGTGGTTTGTGTGTGTGTGTGCTTGTGTTGTTCTACTGACTTTTCATAAATCACCTGGTTTTTCACCAGTGTATTTCTTGCCTATGCTCCAACTGGGTTAAAAAATGCAAACTGCATTTCTAATGTTGCATATGCCCTCATACAGTATGTGGATATGACTTTCTGCATTTCCATTATGTGTGGGAGAGCAGTTATGTGTGCATGTGCATGACTCACAAGGGTGCCCAGAGTTCAGTGTTGATATGCTGCATATTTCCTGTGTTGACAGAGAGAATATTCATGAAATGATTGATGATTTTGTTTTCTTCCTCAACACAAGAGAAAAGGGAGACAACAACAACAGAAAAACAGATATAGGTGCAGGCAGTGAGGGTGATCAAGGGATTGGTGTGTTTCGTGTTTTGTTGACGTGCACACATGCATACACGTCTCTCTCTGCAGTTGAGCTATTGAAGTTGATTTTAGTAATAAAAAAAGACCAACACGTTTTTGATTAGATAATGGCTTGTGTTCTCGACTTCATCAAAAGGACATGTCTAATTGTGATGTCTCAGAATGCATTTTTATTTATTTATTTATTTGTATTTGTTTATTGCGTTACACGCTGGCCCTTAGAGTATGAGTATTTAACTGGATCTTAGTCAAATTATGTATCAGTATGAAACCAGTTAAAATTGTGTGTGCCCACTAAATTTAAAAAGAAAAAAAAAAAGTACCTAGGCTGCACTGGTGTATAAGCCACGTGTCCATTTTGCAATATGAGAAATATTTTTTAAACTGTTAATTAAATACATACCAGTAACATACACAAATATGTACAGTATTTTTTTTTTTTTTTCTGAAAAGTGCTGGTTAAAAATAAAATATACTATAATACAGAAGCCCACCAGGAAAAGTCATTTATCTCTATCTTTGTCTTCCTCCTGCGCACTAAAACCACTGAATTCATCTTCTTCAGTGTCGCAATTGAACATCCTCAGAAAAACGTTGTCACGCACGTGCTCCGTCTCTCGTTGGCGCTCTCAACGTCACTTTTGTCTCGAGGCAAATTCGCAATTTGATTTGATTTATGATTCACGTTTATTTTGAGTGGCTGCAAATGCTTCACAACAGGGAGGGGAGGAGAGAACGGGGAGGGCAGGACTTTGTTTTCCACCCTCCCCCCAGTGGACCATTCAGTAATTCCATTGGTCAGATTATTATTATTTTTTTTACCTTAATTTATACAGGTAGTCTCATTGAGTCACGAGGACCCACCCCCCAAGAGAGACGTGTGTTGGGCAGCTATGTGATGAAGCTAAATGTTTTGGTGGCATGAAGCTCATTAGCTCGTCAAAAAAAAAAAAAAATCATAAATCAGCCGCAGCATTGTATAAGCCGCAGGGTTTAAAGCGTGTGAAAAAAGTAGCAGCTTATAGTCCAGAAATTACGGTAGTTTTTTTTCCCCTGTAATTTGTATTCGGAATTAAAGTTTTTTTGTTTTAATTCTAGAATATTTTAGGCCAATCTTAAAGCTTGTACCTTTCATTTTATTAATTTATGTGTGTCTACATTTCCCTGTTTGTGCGTGTGTTTGTGTGGCAGCGTGGACAGGATCCAGCAGTTAAAGAGAGAGTATCAGCAAGCGAGACGAGAAGGAATGGTTCCGCCTTACGAAGAAATGGACCCGAGACGTCGATGGCATGAAACTGACCCACACAGGGTATGTAGCACAACCCCATACAAATATATTTAGACAAAGATGCAAAGATACTCATAAAAGCAGAAATGCAACTTTTCTAAATATAATTATTTTTCGATGTGGAGCAAGTTCTGCTTTCTCATTTGAAAATATCTTCCTCAGTTTGTCCGTTGCCAGTTTGATGTTTTAGTCGGTGCTCAAGTGCTCACACAGCCATTTCTTTTCTGGGTGTATGCTGAGTATTTTTTTTATTCCCCGTCAGAGTGATCACTGCTTTTACTGCATCAGTCGAGTGATCAAGGCCCTTTAGCTGTCAGTCACAAGGTGCTCTTTGGCATAAATGGCTCCTGTGGGTATTGAGCTGATCATGCTATGATCCAATTTTCACTGAGGATGAGACACAGAGGAGATAAATAGAGGTTTGAGTCACTTGTCATCCCGCAGGTACTGTTTTTCAAATCACAGAATCATAATCACATCCACATGGATCCACAATGGAGACCGCCTGAGTCAAACCTGAAAACCTCTCCTGTGGTAAAGTAATAATGTTATGTTAATGTGTGGAAAAATTACCTCCACTCTGGTATTAGGTGTCATTATGAAGCTAATCAAGTGCAAGTGTATGTCGGTGTTGCTAAGATTTTATTCCAAAATAGTGATAAAAGGGAGCAAAATAACTCATCGTGTGAGGAGACAGACTGATTTGAATTTTAGGCTTTTAAAACCTGAGAAGAAAAGCGATTCCCTCTGAGAAACCAAATTTAGTTACTGGGGCTTTGATTAATCCTCTGTAACTAATTGGCACGTTAACTGGAGTATAAAACGGTTTAACCAGCACCTCAAGTCAGACATTTCTTTTCTATTCCATAGACTGTCAAATATCTTTACTGCGTGGTTAAATGTAAAAAAAAAAAAATATGTATCAGCACTCTATGATTTCAAAATGAGGTTGCATACCAACCACATTACACAGAGGGTGTGTGCATATATATATATAAAAAAAAATACTAATAAAGGCTGCTAACATGCCAACAAGATGAGCTCTAGTTTTGAGGTTTCAAAGCAGCTTGAGAATATTCAAATTAAACCGACTGCCTCGGTGAAAAAAAAAAAACATTTATCACATGAGTAGAACTGGGCTCATTACAATGTCATAATGCTGATTAATCATTTAGTTTGATTGATTGTCCAGCCCTAACATGCTCTATTTGTTATTAATGAGACTTTCATAGTTTAAAAGTGAAGTTTAGTGTTATCAGTTTTAGTGTTTATAGAGTTTGAGGTGACGCCTCTGTAGAATGGCGGGGTGATTTTACACTGTGCCTTATCTAATGCTCATTATTTATCAGTTACTGTGTCAAACAGGCAAGTAATGTCAGTTTGTAAATTAAGAAGTTGTGTTTGTAGAGATTGTGCTTCTCGTGGGGACTCACAAGCTGGAAAACATTAAAGGCATAGTTTATTGAAATTTGGCATTCTAATGATCTAGTCTTGATGTTTTTTGGGGATATGATTGTGTCATCATCATCTTTTTTTAATCAAAAATGTAATCAAACTATGACTTTTTGTTTCAGTTACTATCGAGGGTATTTAGGTTCTTTGTGATACAGCCTGTTCATTAATATGGTTTCGTTTCCGTCCCAAATGTGACATTTTATTAACCTCCTAGGACCTGGCATCCACATATGCAAGAGTCCGGCTCTTAGGAGGTTAATAGATAAATAACTAATATTTCAATTGTGACAACAGAACTCAAAGCAAAAGCAAAATAGGTGCTGCCTAATTTGAGTTCTGACCCAGGAGTTATATTTCACCAAAATAACAGAAAGGATCATGTAAGTATTTGCATCCATCCCTCCATTTATTTCTACCGCCTGTCCATGGTTTGGTTGCAGAGGCAACAGGTCCAGGAGAGAAACGCCGACATCCATTTTCCCAGCAACACTCTTCAGCTCATCATGGGGGAACCCAAGGTGCTTCAAGTTCACAGTGGATAAATAATCCCTCCAGCAAGGGTCTGCCCGGGGGTCTCTTCTCAGCGGAGTATACCTGGAAAACCTCTAAAAGGAGGTGGAAACGAGGCGTCCAGATCAGATGCCTTCTCGATCACCTTTATTTAAAGGAGTTTGGGGCACATGACACCAGGAGACCCTGGGGCAGACCCAGAACTTGCTGAATAGATTATGTATACTCTTTGGGCTGGACACCTTCTTCAGGAGGAGCTGGATGGTATCACTGGGGAGAAAGATGCCTGAGTTTTCCTCATAGATATTTTGCTTTCTAAACTGACCAGAAGAAGGACTTTATGGAAATTGCAGTTAAAAATAAAAAAAAAAAAATAAAAAAAAAATATATATATATATATATATATATATATATATATTTTTTTTTTTTTTTATTTATTTATTTTTTTTTAATGTATTGTCATCATTGTATGTTCCCATACAATGGCAAAATTGGATCTCTGCATTTAACCCATTCACCACCAGGCGGAGCAGTGGGCATCTATTGAAAGCGCCTGGGGAGCATTTTTGGGGATAAGGTGTGCTGCTCAGAGACACCACAAGATGTGCAGTGACTGGGGATCGAACCTTTCAGAAATTTAGCTAATGGGGGTCTAAATTCTGTATGTCTTTGATGGATTTAGGATTTGATGACCTGAGTTCTTTATTATTGCATTTCCATAGATTTTCAGATTGGTCACTAGGCCTGTCACAATAACAAATTTTGCTGGGTGATTAATTGTCTCAGAAATTATTGCGATAAATGATAATATTGTTTGAAAATTGACTATAATTAGTAATTATTGTCAAATTTAAGAAGACATGGTGGTCAATTTGTTTTGAGTATAATACCTTTTTTCGACCACCAGATGACAGTATAAGACTGTTTGAACCAAATGATGGATAGTGAGAGAGCGAGCAGCATGTCTCTTTAAGAAAAATGGGAGAGAGGCCCTTTGTCATGACATGAGCTGTCTTTCTTTCCTGTTTTTCGGTTCTTAAAATGGCGGACACTGTGCGGTTTGAGCTCTTTAGCATAGCATTTTTCACACAAAGCTTTAAAAAAATCAGTAAACAAGTTCTCAGCTTTTTTTTTTTTTTTGCAGAAAAAACTTTTTACACAAAGGCACGGGTTTCAACCATGAATTTTGGAGCTTTGACAAAACAGAGGGTTTTTTTTTTTTTTTTTGAGGTTGGCCTGTTAGCTTAGCTTGTAGCTTAGTTTCTCAGCTTAGCTGTTTTTAACGATCCAAAAACATTATTTTGGATGGTTAAAATAGATTTTAAAGAGAAAAGAGAAAGGGAGGGGTCAGTGAAAAGCACCGGAGTTGAGCCTTTTGTCATCCAGTGTCTTCAGTAGAAAGAGTGAAAGATGAAGAAATGACAAAGCCGGTAAATGAAAATAAGGTCATTATTTTTCTTTTACCGTGCAATTTATTGTTTTTTTTGCGACAGGCCTATCGGTCACAAACAAAATACAGTACTCTGTTTATTAGGCCTTCACTTATACTGCTGCCATCTGCAAATAATATATATTTATTGTTTGCAAAGAAGAATATTTAAAAAAAAAAATGTTTATTTGTTTTACAGATTGACGTTTGCAAGTTTGAAAACAAAAATAAGAAAAAGGGGCAAATAATTCACACTTGTGACCATTCTCCCTGCACCTAATGAGTTAAACTCGTATAAAATGATGCATGTCATAATTAATAATTAAAGCAAATGTGTGTGTTTACCTGACTGGCATTCTGTGGGAACGGGAAAAAACTACCATAATTGTTATGATGGTGAACCTGTGGTAAAGTAATTCATTTGATTAGTTTACTTGTCTGTCTTTAGGACTTTATTTTCTTTTAGGTTTAGAAAATATTTATAACAGGTAAAAATGATGGAAAGATATTTGCAGACTGTGCAAAAAGAAAGAAATAAAAGAAATAAAGACCATGTTAGAAGGAGGAAATAAGCTCCCTTTGCAAGTTATCACAATATATTGAATGTTTGCTCCCCCACCCACCCCCATGGCTCCATTACCATTTCATTGATTCACGGTTATGGGTTAGCTGTCTCAGCTAGCAAAATTATGTTTGCCTAAAAACAATTATCAAGCAACAGAAGCCACACCGCAACTTTTTATTTCCTAGTGAGTGCGTTCTGTGCTTGTGGGTGGATGTGTGTATTTTAGAAGACGACAACAGACTTTCTCCCTAAGCAGAGGGGAACTAAATCAACAGGGCGCTGTGCTGTTGTCACGTACATGCACACTTAGACACAATCTTACTTTGTGGGTGCCAATTGTTGTGGTGGGTGGTGTGATAAAACATTGTGTAGGTTTGAGTTAACTTAAACTGTTTCCATGTAGTTTTGCCTGACCTTTCAACCTAAATATTTCCATTAATTTACAGCCACAACAGTACTAATGCTATGTTCTTCTATAACTCGTGATCAAATAACATAAAAGCTTAAAATTCTGACATTAGCACAGTGTTTTCTCATTTATTTCATATTATTTTTATAGAAGAGTTTATATGATTTACACCTTTTTTCTTTGCTAGAGACTTTTTTAAAACTCACGTTTTTGTGACTTGGAACAGTGTTTCTTTAAAGTCTGTGAATCACTGAGCAGTATGGTAATGTGTGCATACTTTAAATTTAAACTTAAATAAAAAGTAAATATACTACGTACAGCCTTTGTTTTGGTCATATTTCAGCTGAAGGAAATAATCCAATCATGCTCATTTTTTTTAGGAGAATGTTTTGGAATTGTACAATAAGTTACAGTAAAATGTTTTTAATCAGGAGATGACAGTAATGCATGACATTCTACTAGAAGAAAAACTAACACATGTCTAATTGTTTTATGAGATAAACAAATTATATTTCTGGGAAAGCAACTGAAAAGAATAAGGCATCACTTGTGTAAATATCGAAGGGTTTAATCAACTCTTCAGTAAATGTTTAGCTGTGGAGTAACACAAAACAAAATGTTTTAAACTTCTAAAAAATAAAATACCAGTTTAA